CGTCTTCTGGTGGAACCGACCTTCGAATCTCTTCACCCAACACTTCTACTCGAAATGGAAGTAATCCTAAATGAGTATTGCCTCGCTCCCACCTTTTCTTGCGCTTTAATTCTTTAATTGGTTGTTCGGAATCACTTGTCTCGGATTGGTCTGCTGCAGCTCCTCTTTCCTTATTGGTCACTTTACCTTTAATCCCACTTCCTGCCATCTCATTTGCATTATGCTTGCTATAGCGTGTAGTTTGATCTTCTTACTCATCCCTCTTTTATGGTGACTTCTCATTTCGAACATCATTCCCTTATCAAATGCATTTAATCGCTTCACGCTTCCCATCGTTCATCTTGGCCTGTGAACTGGATTATTTGAATTCTTTGACATTTTATTGTTACTAATACTGCGATTCTGAAAGATTGAGTTTATTCAGCTTTCTAGTAAAAGTACCATTATTCCTTTTTCTGCCAAAATTGTTACGGACAACTTTAGAGAATCCTTACTCTTTTTGGCTTGGCCTTCAGTAATAGTACGTAGTCAGGCTTCTATTTCTTCTCTCATCTATTGGTAATCACTCTACCTGTGTAAACCAGCATGAATGAACAAAGTGTTCGGCCCTTTCCAGTGAAGCCTCTTCCCTCCCTCTTGTACCCAGTTTCGAGTGTTTCAAAGGCAAGTGAGGCTACTTCTAGTTCCTGGGGCGATTATTGCCAGAATGTCAGCAGCCTAAGGTTGTCTGTCTCTACTTGCTCGACGCCCACAACTCCGAGTACATTGTCAAGTAATCCTATTTATTCTCCTGACTGGGAAGCAACAAAATTTTCCTCTTGCACAGACAGTGATAATCTTCTGAGGACTATCTCTTGCCTTTCTGCGACTTCCGTCTCTTACAGACAACAAATATCCAATCGGTTGGTCTGTCCCCGCCTGTCTTGCTCGGACTTAGTGTCCTTTCGATCCCTTGGATCGGCTGGTCACTCTAATGATCAAGCGGATGAAAGCCATGAGTCTATTAAATTTCGGTACACCTCAATGGGCGTCACATTGCTGGAGCCTGTCGCCTCCTGGCTATGGTACTCCTGTGCGTTAGGAACTAGAGAAGAGCCAAACACATCTCGCAATCATCAGTTAGATCGCTACAATCATCGATGTTACCATCATAGCCTATGCTCAAAGACCAGTCTTGAAGCCGGCTACCTCGCACGGCTTGAAAACAATGGAGCAATTGGTAACAAGTGTAAAAATGAAGTCTTCCTTCTTCAATCGCCGTTATTTTGCCTGCCTCCCAGAGATTTCGCCTTGCCAATTGTTTGGCCTGTAGAATCTGCGATCTTAGACTTTGCTGTCAGATACAGCCCGTTGCCAGAGCAGATGGCAACGGATGACGACATCGAAGATTTTGGGCTCTTCACGGGTATTAGGAATCTGATTCCAAACCGATTATTGTCATGCAGGTTTCTTCCTGATCGTCTAGCTTCACTATCCAACTACCGACTCTTCGCTTCTTCAAATCCCAGCAAATCAGACATGCTTGAATTCAAGCCGGGGGTTGCTGTTGGTTTGTGCTCTCTCTTTCAAGTAGGTGCCATAGGGACTCCTCATTTCTCCAGTTTTTCTGAGTCACGCACATGCGCACGCATACACATACACATGCACATTCACGCCTGAGCTCCCAGTAAAAATAAGGCGGTGCTATGGTAGTTGTTTCTTATCCTAAGGCAAGGTTAACAACCAACTCGTTACACTTTTTAAACGGCCTACTTATAAATTCTTCTACTTAATCTTCTTCCATTTCCACTCCTGTCTTTCTTAATCATTTATTTGGTTTGTCAACTCATTCCTCTCTATTATGGAATGATAGTAGGGTTAACTTTAGATGCTTTTTCTGCGCATTTCTTTTGTGGATGCAAGTTGAATAGTGTAAGCCTCGTCTGCGTTCCACCTTTGCC